CTAGATACGAATAAAGAGCTGGGAAAAACTCTTTGGGTAGTTCTGGGGAATACTGTTGCACTCGAAAATATAGTTGACCGCGGGTCTATCTTCGCTGTCAAAGAGGTTAACGCGGCTTTATTTGCCGTCACCTATGTTAAGAGTCTTTCTTCGCCGAAAGTTTTTTACGCCTCTTTTTTCGCTATCAACTTTTGAGCTCGCGTCTTTATTCGTATCTAGTGACGATATGTATGCATGTGTTAGGAGACATATGTGCCCATGGATAAGTCTGTACAGTAAAATGAATCGTTATACGCAGTTAATTTGTTTTTATTAATCTAGTTGTGTTTTAGTTTTACTAAATGTTATGTTAACTATGTTTTTTAAAAAATTGACATTGAAAACTAATATTAAAACTCAAAAAAATTTTTGATAGTTTTGGTTGGTTATGGTACGAAATTTTGGTAGGAAAAAAAATGTGTCTGTGGCAACGCTGCATGTGTACATACACCCCGCGACAAAATGATACGATCACTCAGTTTGGGCTACTTATTTTTTATTGCATTTTTCAAACTAATTTGAATTATTTGTTTATACGAGTAATTTTTCCTTTAAAAAAAAAGAATTATAGAAATTGTTTAACGTAGTCCACAGTGGTGCGGTAACATACATAAAAAAAATGTATATGTATATATTCCGACGAATAACTCTCTCCTTTTTTTTAAAAATGTATGTATTCAAAACATATAAATATTTCAGAATTAAAGAAGTAACATTCAGGTTACCTTAATATGCATATATGTACATATAATATTCTTTCGAAATTCGATCGATAGATTGTGCACTAAACGCCTAAAAGAATTTAAAAACATTAATAAATTAGCTTCAGTGTTTATCAAAACCCAAGATTTTGAAGAATCTTTTTTTTTTTGTTTTTCATTTTTTGAATACTTACTAGCAATTCATAAAATGATCACCGTTACAATTTTTTTGCATAGTGTATGCGAATATGGTTTCTGGTGACTTTAACGTTGAAGCACTTGACATTTTATTACGTGAAAAATAACAGTGGTGACGCGGTATAATGACCAGTTCTGGCTACATTTCTTTTGTTTTTTAATGTTAAATATTTTTTTAAAGAGTCTAGTTCATTATATAATAAACTGAATCACCATTTCAAGCATTTCACCTTAATTTCAATCTTTTATTCAGAATATTGAGAAATTTTACGTATGCTGTTGTGTAGCCCATGATACAAAAAAGAAGAAGTTCCATGTAACTTTTTCGTCGCCATATTAACAACCTGACAATTTAGTAGATTGTGAAATTTCGTGCTACCATACCCAATATCTAAAATCCCCCAATTTTTTGTTTATTATTCTTTTGTTTGTTTACTAACATTTTGCTCTTAGAATCGAAATTTGAACAAGCAAAAGGTATTTTACTTGTACAATAATATTGGGTTATTGGGCCGTATGCATAAAAACTGAGCAATTGCTTTTTCTTAAAATATATCGTTCACTTAAATTTATTTGAAAAAATTGAGTACAAGGTATGAAATTTTAAGAAATTGCATTTGCTTAGGTGTGTCCAAACGCTGAACCCAAAGCAAAAAATTTTAGCACCCACGTGTGGTCAAATATTTCAAATTATTAGATGGAAATTTATGACTAAATTCGGTTTAAAATATGGACCTTTTTGTAAAAAATACTGTGGTCAGCGTAGCCGGAGGTGAACTTACATTTTCTCTGTCAAAATGCTAATTTTATTCCATTTTTCAACGAATTTCCCCTCCGTCTCCACTCCCCACCCCAAAGCCGTTGCATAAATAACCGAACATTTCCCCTTTTGTTTTTGAAAGAGAAGAGGTCTAATGCTCAATAAGATGATAATTGTGTTTCTAGTTTTCATACTAACAATAAATCATCAATGTTGTTTCACACCCCCTCCAATATTGAACAGTAAAATATATTTATTTTTACGCAAAGAAACAACGATACTATCGAAATATAGATATTAGAATTGGATAATACTCACTTCTCTGACAGTCATGACATAGAAAACTGTAACAGTCGCCAGCTACATTGTGAAATATTCAGGTGACATAATGACACTAAAAAAATTTTTAAATATGCTCACTAACATTTTATTAATGTAAAAATAAAGATTTTGGCAAGTAGATATCGAATTTAATGTAAGATTTAAACGTTTTTAAGATAGGATATTAATTATTTTTAAAGGTAAATGTTAATACAGCTATTTTATTTATACTCCCAAATTTAGGATAGAAAATCCCTTCCACCAAAAAACTTAAATTGGGTAACGCTGCTTCGAATTTTTTACAATTGAGCAATTGTCAACAATCCCCTTTTTAATCAAAAAGTTGTTTATTGAAACTACCTTCTTTTTTGTATCATGGTGTAGCCTGCTAAGTTTTAGTAGGATAAGGTGCAAGTTTCAAGTGTACAAAATTCCGTTAATTTTTTCCAATTTTTTAGCTGACGGTGTTGTGCATTTTCTTGCACGCTCCATGATTTAGGTGAAAATTGGTTGAGTTTTCATAATTTTCGTACAAAGTTCAAAATGCGGATTTATACGCAGTTTATTATATAATGAGCTAGACTTTTATAAAAAAAAATATATTATATTAAACATTAAAGAATTTAAGAAATGCTGCCAAAACTGTTAAAAAAGGTGTTTCTATTATTTCTGCCAACTGTGTAGCTCTTAATTTTTTAGGTTTGTTAGAAGTCGGCGAACGACTCTATGCAAATATTGATTCGAAAATATACGATAGAGTTATAAAATAAGCTAATAATTTTTTCTTCCCAATTAGACGCAAGCGAACGCATGTGTGCAACTGTGGCATATTCTTTAGAGAAAAACATTATTCCATTTGTATGTATGTACCCTACATCTATCTCAGTTGATCATACTTATGTATATATGTAAGTAGGTATGTACATTAGACTACAGCACCAAAAAAAGTTGCGGGTTTTCCGCCGGGATTACAAAATCGAATATACATACATACATATATATTCAATAGAATGGTATTTAGCCACTCTTTTAATTTCTTTGCAAAAAAAAACTCACTCACGTCCCTTTTTTCCAATACCAACACATCTTAATTCAACTTGGAATGACGCTCGTTCATCCTACCTTTCTCTTTTATCCCTTGAATGAGTTTTTTATCAAAAAATAATGATACTTCACAAGTCTAAATGGGAATAGTTTAGGTTCAGTTATTCAAGTTTTTGTTATACCAATCTTTGAAAAATGTTAAAAACAGCATTTTTTATGCAAATTTTTTAAACTTAAACCGTTTTGTCATTTGAGGGTTTTTTAATCTTTAAGAAATTATTTTTATTCATAAAAACTCCATTTTTGGAGGTATTTTCAAATCGGTCCAGCTCAAATATAATAGATTTTATAATTCCAATGGAAACACAGTACCTATTTTGTAGTGTCCGACCGAAGCTGGAATATTGGCTGAAGCCGAAACCTAATATTAGGTACTATTCAATTTTCAGCCGAAAACCGAAGCCGAAGCCAGTGACTTTTTATTTCGTAAAGAAGTGAGATGTCGTATTAAAAGGCTTGGACTGTATATATGTGTAATAACGTTTTACCTTTTTG